TTCTGCACCAGCAGCCCCCCATGAGTGACACACAGTGAACATTCTGTACAGCAGAACAGTGAAGAAGTCACAAACTTGTTTGACCAGATGAGTTAAGGATGTCATTTAGGGAAGCCTTCTGGGAAAACTGGCCCTGGTGTGAGTGTGTGTGTTTGTGTCTCTGTGTGCCCCGCGATGGACTGGTGTCCCATCCAGGGTGTATCCTGCCTTGCACCCTTTGCTTGCTGGGATAGACTCCAGCTCCCCCGAGACCCTGTATTGGATAAGGCGGATAGAAAATGAATGGGTGGATATCCTGGATTCTTTCAGAAAACAGCAGGCTGAGATCTTCAGGTCAATCAGCTGCTAGTGAGCAAATAAGTTACGAGTCCTCTCTCCTGGTACCATTCTTATAATAATAATTGCTTACACTTATATAGCGCTTTTCTGGACACTCCACTCAAAGCGCTTTACAGGTAATGGGGATCCCCTCCACCACCACCAGTGTGCAGCCCCACCTGGATGATGCGACGGCAGTCATAGTGCACCAGTACACTCACCACACACCAGCAATCAGTGGGGAGGAGAACAGAGTGATGAAGCAAGATTCTTATGTCTACTTGCCATTCATTTTTATGAAATCCCAACGTCATTTTATGACAGCGAATGAAGGCAGAATAAGCTTTACTGACTTACATTAATGCCCCTGCACTATAAAATCTGTTTTTTTCAACTCAAGTAAAGGAAGAAAATGAATAATTCTTACTGATTTGAAACAAAAGCCTTTAAATGCTTAAAAACGTCTCATGCCAGCACGAGTCCTGGCACTGGCTGGCATGCCTAGGCATTATGCCCTCTCGTCAACTCTGCCCGTATCGGCTCAACAATGGCACAAGGGGGAGCGCAGAGTGGCAGGGGTGCCTAGAAACAGAGGAACTGACAGAGCCACCAGGAGCAAACAGCACTGCTGACAAAGAGAAGCTGTTCCAGGCTCAGACAGCTCCCCTCAGGCTCTCCTGGGACGACATCGCTGCTGCAGAGTGCTTCAGTCCATGTTTAAAGATCCCCCAGCCCCTTGAAAAGCAAAACAAAACTTGCAACAACCTTGCTTCCCTCTCGGTGTGTCGGTTCACGTGTCACATATGCCGTGTTTGTGAACTCTGTTTTTTTTTTTTAAAAGCTTTTGCAAATCTGCAAATGCTCCTGTGTGGGGAGACTCTGACAATTCGGGGCGAGTCAATGTGGAGCATGAGCCTGCAGGGTCCTTTGACTCTGAGGGCACTCCCACAAGACAATGGACTCTGTCCTGTGTTGCCAGGGCAACGGCAGAGGACATCTTCTGCGTGTCTTGGCCAGGTTGAAGTGGCACATGCGACAGTGCTGAAGGACACGGGTACCAAAGGATGTGTTTCTCCACCTTCCCTCCCCTCTCCTCTCAGCCCCAGAAAGGGCTTAAGGCTCTGCATGGTCACTTCTGTGGCTGCCCTCTGCCCCGACGCAGAGACGGAGAGCCCCGCCATGTTTGTTTTTCTGGGTGCAGCAGGCAGAAGCCAGGCGCAGGACAGGGCACGCGTCTGTGCCACCCTGCCCGTGGAGCACAGTCAGAGGAACAGCAGGGCTGTAAGGGCAGATGGGTAGACACGACCGCCGGAAGGCAGACAACTTTGGGACCTCAACTTGCTTTCTACAGCAATCAGCCAGGTGTCCAGGCCCTGGTCCTAGAGGACCTGGTGTACCTTCAAGCTTCAGTATCATAGTTTCTTAAAAACTCAGCACTTGAAGAGCCAGGAGTTAAAAAGACAAGACAGGGTATCAAGGAGAGAAGGCCATTCAGCCCGTCGAAGCCCTTATACTTTCTGTTGTTCTTACCTTCTTAAACTCAGGATTTGAGGGAATTGGTCAGAAAAGGAATGCTCGATGATCATTCAGAACTGGCTGTTCAAAACCTTTTCTGTTCTAGCATTATGATAAATAGCAGTGTTTTAAATACTCTTGAAATTTAGCTTTGATGAGGCAGAGATCCACAGACGGTGATCACAAGGGACTGGAACTGGAGAGCTGCTCTGGTAATCTTTGAAGTTGCCTGCTTTATTGTGCAGCGTTGGTAATATTCTTTTTATGTGCAGATCAGCCCCAGCCTGGAGGGTTCTGGAGTGCAGCAGTGGCTTTCAGCAGCAATCCCAAACAAGACAGCACACTCCTCAGTATAACAGCAACTCCGGGCCTGTGTGAGGCCAGAGTCAAGCTGCCCAGGACTGTGCCAAGAGACAGGGCCTTGACATCACAGTGAGAGGCCCACACAGGATACTGTGCATGGGAGAAGCACTGATTGCCCTTCCTGTCTTAATTAGAAGTTTCATCTTTGAACAAAATCCGGCAATCAGAAAGTTTTTGTTATGACACTCTGTATGCAGGATCCCATTAGGATCACACATCATGTTCATGCCAACACATGGCAAATCCCTGAAGCATAGATGACAAGAGAGATCATGCCATGACCTTCTGCTGATGGACATTATTTCAATTGGCTTCGCTAGGGCCATCATATGCCACTGCAATTGCTAGAATTTAAGCAACTACTAAATTCTGTTTCCTCTCCAGCAGACAAAGATCTCATGAGCCCTTGTGAGTCACTGAATTTCACCATTCTGCTTCAACAATTTCAGCCCAGGCAGGGCTGCTGGTATAGCAAGTGCAAAAGGCCTGCTGTATGTCGCCCATGAGTAGCTTTACGTAAATTGTGGATGAACCACAGAATAACCATGCCCTCTACAAAGGAAGGAGGCAAGTCATACCTCTTTCTCTCTCCCTGAAATCACTTCTTTCTCCCTGTCCACTGTAGCACCAGGGAGCTGTCCAGACTCACAGCAAACAGCAGCCTCCTCTGGTCACTCACAAACAAAATTCCCATTGTCCAATTGTGCATGGCTTCTCATGGCTAGACCTACCAGAGGTTATCCAGGAGATTACCTAGGGAGAATTTAGTGAGCTCAATGAGAGGCAGTCTGCTGAGGAGGCTGCCAGAGGCAAGCCCCTGTGTTCTGTGTTCTGAATGGACAGCTTCCAAAGTGACTGGGTCATGGCGTGAAACGAAAAAGAAATCACTGCCCCCCCCTTTAAATGATCAATTAACCAATATAATCCCCACCACATTCAAATCAA